AGGAAGGGGCAGAGCAGGAGTCTGAACAAGATTTCTCCCGGCACATTTCTCTCTGCCAACTGGAGCTGGAAAATTTTTGGATATGGGCACACTGCAAGAGTGACAGAATAGGATAGTCCAAAGAGCTGAGTACCCTCTTCCCAGCTCAATGACATCTTCCAGTATGACAATTCATGTGTTTCTTGCCAGTGGACTACTGCATGGATATTTCATTCCCCAATGTCAGTGATCGCTTGGTGGTTTCCACAATGTGACCTGGGCCACGCTGGGATTCTGTGACAGCTTGCCACAACGTATGGTGGCCACCTCTAGTCTGATGAGTCCTGCTCCTTAACTGGAGGTTCACAAACAATTAGTTCAACTAATTAATCAAAGCTGATGCAGTCTTTCCTTTCCCTGGTGTGCTATTGCTTATATGTATTTGATTTTTGTTCTGAAATGGTTCTGGACAATGGCTGGCTAAAAACTACTTTTTGGCAGGTGGTGGGGAGAGTTCAGCTCAGTAGTCTTCTGCTGGTTTAAGTCCCTGCATGGGAGCTAATGGTATGGGAAAAGTGCTAGTGCCAACATGGGAGGTCAGGAACCAACAGCTGAAAGTGAAGCCAGGGAGAAAGGATATGGCTGCAGTTACATCTTGAGCAGATCTAGCAGGCTGCCAGTGAAAGGGGGGAGAGCTGCTCCCCCTTCCAGATCCCTGCTGGTCGCCTTATGTTAGTTTTGGATTTTGCTGGACCACTTCTTGAGTTGATTCCACTTGCTAACCCAGTCAAACCTTTCACCGCATAATAGTTTGAATCAGCTTGGGGAGGGGCCCTTAACTAAGTGAGAGGGTAGAGCAACATTGCTGGGGATTGGGAATGAGAAAAAAGAGTGTGGGGAAAATGAACATGTGCTAATTGCTTTAACCAGGCTAAACTCCATGTCAGTAAAATAGAGGCACCCAGAGCTGTCCTGGATTGTGGAAGGTGGAAAAGAGGAAGTGGGAATTTGTGGAAAAGGCTACTGGACTAGTTAAAGAAAAGCATGACAAATTCTAACAGTTTAAAGTTGCTACGTTAACACCAAAAAGATTAAAAAACATTTTTAGCTGGTGAAGTGATTGTTTTATGTTGGTTCATCACATTGCACCCTGTGGGCAGCAGAATCTTTATGCCTGTAGCAGATGCTCACAAGTTAGATGTACAAAGCGAGACTGAAGTAAACAAGAGTAAGGCAAACCAGACTTAAGTATCTTGGGGATTAGCAACTTTCAGTATGCTAGGGGGAGTGACAGGAATTGCAGCCAAGAGAAATACGTGGTACAAGAACTGGAGTTTGGTGGTGAGAAGGCAGCAATGAGAATTCTAGTTGTAAAGGTAAGGCAAAAAAGACAATGTCTGAACTTTAATATTGAATGTGGTAAACTTAGGAAAGGTCTTACGTGAATATTTGAGTTAAGAAGCAGTTATAGGCTCAGTGATCACTACTGGCAGGAGTTTCTTACGATTTAAATTATTTTTGTTGCAGTTGAAATGTGTTAAACTTGAGGTTTTGTAACTTTTATGTTCTTTAAGGGAACATTTGTTCCTGCTAGTGGATACAAAACCACCCTTATTTTATAAATAAGCATAGCTTTTACTTTGTATTGGGTACTTTAATTAAATGAATAAACTGCATGTAGACCTCTCAGGTGATAGAGGACATGGTAATATTCGCTACTGTTTCAGGTTTTTATTTCCAAGGTGGATGTTTTTTCTTTTAAAAATGTGTGGTTCTTTTCAGTGTATTGTAGCTTGTTGCAGTTACAATATATGCTTTTATGATGTCTACAGAAGGAGAAATAAAAACATGTAAAGAGTTCAACTTCTTAAAAAAAACCCACTCTGAGTTATATCTTTTTGCCCCATTATAACTTAAACTGCAAAGTAGTTGCTTAGCTTTGAAAGGAGTTTCTCTTGGACTTCTTCCCTTAGGTTATTACTATAGTTCATAACTTCATTATTCAAAAAAAGTCATCTTTGCAGTGTCCTGTGCTTCTTTCAAAGTTGGGACAGGAAACTTCTGGAACAATTTTCCTTTTGGTGTTGCTGTCTGAGCGAAGTAAATGCAAAGATGATACCAGGTACTAATGCTGCTGCCAACTTCAGTAACTGGGTTTTATAGGACATGGAAGCCTTTGTGTTTTCTGGGAAGGGTTGGAGGCAGTGGAGGAACAAACCCGTTTTTTATAATTTTGGTGATGCAGATTTCATTCCTGAATGTCACAAGACATTGGAAATCTTTACATCCTCATCTGCCAGCCCTACGGAATGCTTTACAAGTCGTGGCTTTGAATCAATTTGCATGAAGCTGCACATCCTCGGTGTAGCTGTGTTTCTTCTGAGTCATCATTTATGTAACTTGTACCATTGATGAAAAGGAAGTTTTCCCCGGTCCTTCCTCAGGCAGCTCTGAGCTCCAGCAAGGAGTGAATTACCTATGCAGTGTGGTTGTGATAGGCTCAGCAGTGCCTTCAGGCCTTGGTGATTACACTTGACGTGCCTGGTGTTCCAGTTCAGTGCATGCTGTGTGTGGGGGTACTCCATGTTGCTCATAATAATGGAGGTTGTACTCATTTGTGTGTGGATTTACTTTTTTTTCAAATGCTGGGCATGCTGTCTTGTTAGAGAAAGCTCTGCCAGTTGGCTGCACACTTTCCTATAGTGCACTAGATGACACTGAGCTGGCTATTAACTAGATTTTTCAGGTTGCAACTGTATGCAGGCTTTAAAAAGTAGATGGTTTTATTACATTACTGTTTTTTTACACCTTGCAGTCTATTGAATACTTTTCAAAAAAGCATAAGCAACCCCGCACTTCAAGAAAATCTATTGTAATTAATTTTAAATCTTAGGGAGGTGGGAAATTATGCAAGGAAGGGAAGGAGATAGCAAAGTAAGGTAAAAATAAACCTTCTTAATATAAAGAGTCTACTTCTGATTTAAAAAAGTCTACTGCTTCTCCATGGAAAGAGAATCTTTAAATTGAATGGGGTTTTGCGCAATTAAAAATTGCTTTCTGGAGAGGGGAAAATACAAATACAAATTTGGTATTATTAAAACAAAGTTTCACCCCTCCCTCCTTCTGTCTAAAGATCATCATAAATCAGTTTATATTCAGTGTTTCTAAATTTAGGATGACAGTAAGCAATTAATTTTTTAAAAACCCCACCAAAACCAACAAAATCCTCACTCCCCACCACCCCTAAACTTGTATAGCAGAACTCTTGTAATTGGAGGTAGATGAAGGAACTTTTCAGTTCTTTCAGCTTCCCCCAATTCACATGTGACAGTGTCTTTGGGAAATTGTTTTGTGGTACAAAAGGGAGTAAGTAGTCTGATTTTTGAATTTATCCCTGTGTTAATGTTTCTAATTTCAGTGCAAGTTTCTCATATAAGGAACTGTATCTCTTCTGGCAGTGTGGCCTTGACATTATTGAACTATGCACATCTTTGGCTCTGTAAATGAAAACCTTTTGTTTAGGACATACGTCCTTCTGCGAGTTCAAAGTGCCCATCTATGCTGATGAATAAATCCTCAAGTTCCTAGTGAAATTTGTGTGGTGACAGGCAGAAGAGCATTTACTATGACACTCATAGTATGTCTCTCAATTCCTTTGTAGAGCTCTTTTGCTACAGTTTCTGAGTAAAGAGAGGGAAAGGTTGAAATGTTTTCTGATAGTCAATTTAAAAGGATGTGACTGCCTTATACAAATGTAGTATTTTTTGTAACCTTTTGTTGAAGAAGGAATGAGGCTGGAATTTGCATCGTACTGTATATAGCTTGTGATTAAGGACAATTAAGCAGGCATATTACATTTAAGAAACTATCTGTTTTCATGGTTGCTGCTTTACATTAGTCATCTTAGGTGTTGTTATGAAAAACATACTGTGAAAAGTGACAGAGTAAGCAAATAAAGCCTGTAAAATAAAGGCTTTGTATTAGAGAACTTGGGGCCTCTGGTGGTCTAGTGGTTAGGGTGCAGGACTCTCACCACTGCGACCCGGGTTCGATTCCCAGCCCCCCGGGCAGATGGAGCTCGTCAGCCCTGTAAGGCCATCCATCTAAGAGAAGGTCACTCTAATCAAACCTACGTCCTGGGGACCTCACTGCCACTGTCCAAGCTTGCTCGGCCCCAGCAAATGAACCTCAGGATTAAAGGGTGGGCTCATTTCAGCGCACGCTGTGTCTCACCTAAAAAATCCACTGCGCAGGCTCGAAGGGTTAATGACCTTTCCTAAAATCTTCGCTCGCGAAGACTGGCCATATTATTATTAGAGAACTAAACAGGAGTGGTAGAGCTGAGTTTGAAAGAACTCAGTGTTGTCTATCCATACCTCTAGAGTTATTTTTCTCCCTATCTCCTCATACCACTTTTGACACTAAACCAACATTTGTCTCATGCTGTGCAATGAATTTTGGATTTTTTGTATTATATGTAAAATGTCTGAGGTATATAATTTTGGGGAATATCAACATGCAGGTCACTTTGAAAGCTTGACATGAGAATTATGCTGTTATTGAAGTGGTGTGTATGTTGCTAAATTCTATAAAGAAAAATAATCATTGCTTAGATGGGCCAGCACTGAATGCTTAGAAAACTGCTTTACTCTTGTCTTCCTTATTCTTATTTAAATGTCCTTCTGTACAGAACAGTGTCATTTGAGTACTTCAAACCCCCATTTTCTTTGTTCTCTCCCTTCTTCTTTATTGCTATTTTAATAATGCACAACCCAGAATACTGAGCTGCCTGTTATGAAGGCACGATCTTGGCTTGTAACAAAGTCGAAAAGCTGTAAAAGTCAGTGCTTTTTAGTCAAACCTCTAAATGTCTCCCCACCATTTCTTATTTTTTTTAAAAATACTCTTACATTAGTAGCTACTAATGGCCTGATGCACCATCATAGTGCAAGTTACAGTTAATATGAGTGACGTTAATACATCTGTCTGTGTGTCCCCCCCCTTATTTCTCCTATTTGAAGCTGCCCCGCTGTTGCTGTACGCGAACCGACGGGATCTGCGACTGGTGGACGCTGCCAATGGGAAGGAGAATGCCACCGTGATCGTGGGTGGCTTAGAGGACGCAGCAGCAGTGGACTTTGTGTTTGTAAAGGGGTTGATTTACTGGAGTGATGTCAGTGAAGAAGCCATTAAACGAACAGAATTCAATAAATCTGGGAGTGTACAAAATGTGGTCATTTCTGGACTTCTGTCACCCGATGGGCTGGCATGTGACTGGCTGGGAGAAAAATTATACTGGACAGATTCTGAAACAAATCGGATTGAGGTTTCTAATTTAGATGGATCACTGAGAAAAGTTTTGTTTTGGCAAGAATTGGATCAACCCAGAGCAATTGCCTTAGATCCTGGAAGAGGGTAAGTCTTTGTTAAAACAAAGTAGTTACAAATATCGAAGTTTGTACTATTTCTTGTTTGTTGAATGGTTTTAAATAGGTGATGGTACTGTATTTGAAGTTATCCTAAGCCAGTTTGCATTATTTGCTTCACTTTCTACTAGTGTGATTTGCAAACAATTTGTACTTCTAAAATTGCATTCATAATGGTTTGTGAACAACTAGACTTTTAAAAAAGTACTAGAAATTTCTTTTGGCAGTTGTACAGAAGATTAACAGAAATGGAGAAGTTCTAATGTAAAACCTAGTACAATCTGCTGTGCTCTAAAGACCATCAGCTGCGTGTGGACAGTCACACTTGTGCCTCTCTGACATGTCGAGTAATTTTTGGAGCTTTAATAATTATTGATATTCATGCTTTATTGAAACATCTGAAGAAATGAGATAAATCAATATACTGTACTAATAATAATTTGAGATGTGTTCTGGCATTTAACCAGAAAATTTACAGAAAAGTTCCTCTCTCTACCCTCGAGGGAACTTCTCTTTAAAAAATTCTGTGTTTTGGCTTGGCCCATTCTAGAACTGATGTAGTTTTCTCAGCCGTCATTAGAGTCTCTGGATGTGGCTTACAGTAGAACCTTTTATCTCTATTCTTGGGACAAAGTAGTGTTTGCCAAAAACGCAAAATTCAGCAGTGTTTTGGTGATGTTAAAGGGTTAGCTTGAGGTTACCCCATAGGTAGTCACCTGTGATAAGGTGTTTGGCTCTCTCAAAGTGGAAGACTAATGTGTTAGAAGACTAATGCTTCTGATAATTTTTTCTATCTATAATAGAGAACATATTTATACTATCTTTTTTTTTTCTTGAACAAGCAAGAAAATTAATCTATTGTACTGCTATTGCACATATTTTTTAAGCCAACTTTTTTTTGGGGGAGGGAGGATCGGTGCCTTTTTTGTTTGTTAAGATGAGAGTTATGTTTCGCTGCATGCTACTTTTTTGCATTCTAGTTTGTTTGGCTCTTTTCCTCCAAAAGAAGAAAAATCTCTGCAAAACATGGCTTCTTTCCTGAACTTCTTGGAAATACTGTATCTTGAATATTTTCTTCCACAGTTTCAATAGTCCTTTGACAATTTAAAAACAGAAAAGATGTTTGGTTTCCATTACATATATTTCAGGCTTTGGAAATAACAGAAGGATGGATTTATGCTTTTCCTATGTATTTACAACTTGTAAATTGGAGCTAATGATAGTGTTAGTTTCATTTTAGTAGATTCTAAAACCATTTAAGAGTGCAAGAAAAGTGTAATGCTCATGCTCCTTTCACCCACCATCCCAAAACTGAAAGGGGAAGAAAAACACAGTCAAGGTGGTTTTGATTTGGCTTGTAACCAGAGAGATCAAGTTTCTTGTTAGTTAGGAATAACACACTGTTGTGAAGCCAGTTGGTCTTTTTTTTAGAGCAGTATTTGTATTTTCTGAATCTGGACAGTAATATGCTCAGTGATCCATACTAGATGATTGCATACTCTTTCACTCTTTCTAGTACTTTACACTAAGAGGAAAATACAAGAAGAAAAATTAAATAGCTCAAAGGTAAAGCAAGCTTGTAACTTGTTTCATATTGATGATCTGTTAAATCAGTAGGAAACATTTCAATATGCCTAAATCTAAAACAACTCAAAAAAAGCAAAACACCAAAACCCCTTCGCCAACCCAAACAAAACCCCACTAACCAAAACAAAAAACCCCTCCAAGAACTGTAATTAAGGGATGAAACATTTTTTCTGCTGCATTTTTGAAGAGGTCACTTTCTAAGTTGTTATATGAAGAGTATGTTTTAAGAAGGTAATAGAGCAATATAACCAGCTTCTATCTTGCCATATTGCAGTTGCAAAAATTGCAGTTCTTGTATGCAATTTTATTACAGGAGACCTTTCAGCTTTTAATAAATCTGGTTATATTTTAGAACCTTTCAGAACCCTTCAATGGAAGGGTGGCATCAGCACAGAGATGTAAATTTAAAAAGATAAATAAATAATTCCCCAAACTCTTCTTGTATGCATGCTTCTTTCACTAGTATTTAGATTTTTTTAGCCCTGTAATTGTCTTTTGGTTTCATGATGTTACCTGGCAAATAGCAGTAGGAATAAGTAATAAAAAATTCTAAGAGCAGCTAATAAAATCTGAAACTTGGAAAAGCAAAACCCTTCTCATTTTCCTGCAGTCTAATCCATCTCCTGTTATGCTCAACTGATGTTTATTTCAGATACAGTTTTATAAGATTGTAATTAATGAAAAGAAATGATTTAGCTGCAAAACTTACACAAAGGTCATCTTTATCAATAAGTTCAGTTTGTCATCAAAGTTAAATTGTCAAATGTCTAAAATAGCATACGTAAGTATTTCATGATGAAGTTGATTTAAGTACCAAACTACTAGTCTCTTCTGTGTTGGGATGTCTATTTATTAAATGTATCTATCTTGCTGAAAACATGAGAATGCCTACTTGGAAGTGAAATGTTAAGAACTGTATAAGCTAGCACAAATATGTAGTCATGAAGAATGCATTTTCCTGGCAGTGTCCCATGTAGTAAAAATGAAATGTTTTACTGTCCTATTTTCATCTAAGAAGGCATTAAATATGAACTGTCTAGATTCTTCTCCTACATACATTTTGAGGAGCTTCTCATTGCTCACATTCATACGCTACAACTTCCTTTAATTTTTTCAATTTTAGTTGTCTTGATACTCAATAAAATACTGTGTGTGTACCAGGAAAGAGAAGGGACTTCAGATGAAGATGAAGGGAAGGGAGTGTTTGTTCAGCCTTCTTTTGAAGTGAGCCAGCAGGTTTCAGGGCAGTTTCAGGAAGGCTTCTTGGTCCTAGCCATCCTTTCTGGAACTGTTTTTTCCCAACTGGTGTTAAACATGAGATCCTTCTCAATAAGATCAGCAGCTGGGAATAGCACTGACACTAATGTTGACTTTTTGCCAGGAGAAGACCAGGTGTTAGGTCACTAAGTGCAGGAGAGCACTTGAAAGTTGAGCAAGTTGAAAAGAAGTTTTTCTGCTTCAGCAGTCAAGATGGAAAAAACAAAAAGAAAAAAAAAGGCATATCCAGATTCTTGACCAAGTACTACTTGAAAATGCAGTATTGTATATTTGTACTGCTGTTTCCTCATGTTGTTGGGTTTGTTTGTTTTAAAAATTGTGCAGCCCTTTTGTCCTCATGGAAAAGACTTCGTTGTCATAGTTACATCAAAATTACCCTTTAGACAACTTGATCAGCTTTCTTCATAAGGAGCATTATCAAAATCAACTGGCCTTTCTCACTTGTAGATGTATTGTTCGTTACAAAGGGAATTTTAAGTGCCTCCTAGAAGTGGTAACTAATTACTTGCTTTTCAGGACATGTTTTAAATCAAGTGACGTATAGAGTTACCTTAATTGTTAAGCTCAACCCAAAACTTTTGGGTTGTAAAGGTTTTCAGTTAATGAATGGAATTAGAGTACAAAGAGCTACAACACTTTTTATGGCAGCTGAAGTTGATTTCTGGATTAAGTACTCTGCATGTTAGGGAAGATCTTCAGGTTTAATGGGTACCCCTCCCCCAACAAACTTACTTTTTTCATGCAAAACCTTTGCAGGGAACACATACTTTATGGACCTATTTCTTCTGTTTCTTTGGAAGTTGGAAACTTGTGTCTGAGCATGTCAAGCACAAAAGCAACTGTAGTACAGGACTTATATCTGCACGTTGTAACAAAAATCCGTGGGAACTGGTAGTACTTCTGCTGAGTGGTAGATGTTATACAAGAGTATAAGAAAAGGGAGGGGCCTCTGGTGGTCTAGTGGTTAGGGTGCAGGACTCTCACCGCTGCGACCCGGGTTCGATTCCCAGCCCCCCGGGCAGATGGAGCTCGTCAGCCTTGTAAGGCCATCCGTCTAAGAGAAGGTCACTCTAAACAAACCTATGTCCTGGGGACCTCACTGCCACTGTCCAAGCTTGCTCGGCCCCGGCAGATGAACCTCAGGATTAAAGGGTGGGCTCAGTTCAGCGCACACTGGATCTCACCTAAAAAAAAAAAAAAAAAATAAAATCCACTGCGCAGGCTTGAAGGGTTAATGACCTTTCCCAAATCTTCGCTCGCGAAGACTGGCCATTATAAGAAAAGGGAAATGGACAGTTCTAATTACAGGTACAGTACCTGTGATTTTTGGGAAAAAACACTTTAAAACAAAAAAAACCAAACAGAATTTCTTTGCAAATTCACTTGTGCAGTGAAGGGGTTTTAGTTTTGTGGTGGTTTGAAACTCCCAAGAATCTAATTTTTAAGTTCAAGCTCCCCCCCCCCACAGTTTGCCTCTGTGAGAGGGTTTAGTGATGGTATGGACTTGATATCTTTTTCACCCCATGTGGAGAGTTTTCAGACAAAACACAACCATTCGGTATTGGGGGAAGGGGAAAATATTTACAAAGGTTTATTTACACCCACATATATATTTACATTAAATTAAATTTCTCCTCTTCTTCAATAAAAGTCCAAGAAGAAAAGAGAAAAGTCTTTCTATCATCTCTCAGGCCACAGTTCCTTCATTTCAGTTTTTTGTGGCACTGATTAGTGTCCTTCATTTTCCTGAGGCAGCAGATTTACGTATGGCAGTCAGGATTTTGGTTCTTACTTTGTGGAAATTTCAACCTCGAGCCCGAGCCTTTGGGGGATTTCCTTGTAGATCTTCACTCCTCTTGGGTTAGAACATTGAAGGCAGCTTTCAGTTCAGTCTTACCAAAGCTCTTCTGCTCTGTCTCAGCTCAGTAGCACGATAGAAGCAGCAACAGCAGCAGCAGAGGGCACGGCCACCTCCTCTGCATTCCGTCCTGGCTCAGCTCTCGGGACAAACTCTGGGTTTTCAGCTCCTTTCTCCCTCTCTCTAGCTGCTGCTGCATTTCAGGACTCCCTACGGGTTTGGAAGTCCACCCCTCCTCTTCAGAGAGTCTCTGGTTTTGGGAAAAT